AACGGCGGCTTGCACCTCATCCGCCGGCTTTCCAGCAGGGCTTGCGTTATGCCGTACCCCCATTGCACGTGTAAGCCCCTGAGAGGAATTTTTTAAGGAAGCGGAAAAGCTGCTGGCAGGCAGTGGCAGCGTGAGGCACTGAGGGCAGAGAGCTGCTGGAGAAGCCCGAGGGGGAAATCCCTGTACCGGCGTGACTGAAACCGGCTGTGGGCCGAGGCGAACGGGAGAGAGCGCTGCAGGGCTCTGCTCAGGCCCAGCCAGCACAAATGCAGTTTCTTCTGCTTCTTCACAGCCAGAGACACCATCCCTAAAAGAAATCTCCGACAGCTTTAAAAGCTGGTAACTACAACTTTAGCCTTCTGTGTCCATAACTACTGGAGACAAGTTTTCAGTAGTGAAAGAGCCTAATGTAGTCAGTAACAGTACGACCAGGTGCCTCTAAGATTTAAAAGGACCGCAAGCCTTTGGTGATTAGCAGCATGAAACCAGCCCGGTCTGCTTTTAGCTACAGGAAGAAATCGGGATTAAGAAGTCAAAATTAGTCTTCTGAACTAAAAGCTGTAAAGTGATCCTGACGGCTGCCAGGATGTTGATTCCTTAAGAGAAGGAAAGGGGTGGTCAGGAGCAGAGCGGGAGGGTGCAGGCCTGCAGCAGGGTTTCTCTCAGAGCGATGCTAATGACCTTACCTGTTGTCTCCTGCACCAACACATTTTCATTTGCAAAGACTAAATCCTGCTTGCCAGATATAAACACACCAAATAGATTCAGGAGGACAGCTAAGAGTTCTTCAGGACACAGTGGGAGAACCTTCGGATTGAAGGAATTTTTGTAGTAACAAGGTGTGTGCCAATCTAGTTCGTTTGCTTTGTTTTCTGACAGGGGAGATGGAGTGTGCTGTTATTTCTGTGGCACAAGTAGGAAACACTTTCAAGAATTACAGTGTAAAACAGTCCTGTCCAACTGATACAGTTCCTATTAGAGTGACACATACGCTTTCCAGGTTGATGGTGTGATCTGAATGAAGTATATCAGTTCTAATTTTTATTATCACAGGGATGCAGAAACTAATTAAAGATGAGAGCAACAGAAATACACATAGAAATACACATTAGCTCTCCAAATACTACAGTCAAAAGTTTTAACTAACAGCTTTGATTTAGAGACAGCTTCACAGATGTGACTGATCGCATTTACAGTATGGTTATGTTGTTACAAAGGGAAAGTTTACAAAGCTCATTAAAAAAATAATCAAATATTCATGACCAGAGTTAGCTGAAGCGAGGAATTTTGTTGCGATTGTCCTTCCACTTTGTCCTCCTCTTTGCATTAGTATTTATGCTTTCAGAATTTGGCAGGAAGCTTCATCTTCTTTTCAGTCCATCTAAAATAACAATTATTAGACGTCAGACTTCACATTCTAAAAATAAACTGAGTTGGCTTAGCTTCTGGTACCACAGATCGCATCAATACAAACAATCAAAATGGCCCTTTGAAGTATATTTTGCTAAAGAGCATCCAACAGATTTCAAGTGTTCATGTCCAAGTAATACACTAGAAGTGTGCTTGAAAGAGTGCACAGCCAAAGGCTGCTAAAGGGGGGGGAAAAAAAATCAGCAGAATTTCCTTAAAAACTGTAGTATGTGCTTTGTTCCTTCATATACTATCTCCTCAAGGTGACAGTACATATCTAATGAGAACTTAAATGGTTTTATTACACTTAAATACCAGTCGTTCAAGATCTTAAGAATATGTGATGCTATTAAAAAAATGGGTATGGTTTTTCCCTCACACATTTTAACTTATATTCTTGCCAATTTAGTTAACTTGCAGGTCTTCTCCATGTGCAACTGTGTGAAAAATTGTTTCCTACCAATTTGTTTTCCATTAAGGGATTTTTCAAGTATAGCTACAGGCAAAATGTACCCTATGAAAGGAAGCAAAAGCTTCTAGCTCAAGTGATGTACACATTCTCCTGTCTATTGTGAGCAAGTCGGATGGTATTTTGTACTTTAAATTTGATTGAACACCTCTGTAAAGCACTTTTTATTCTTTGTCTACAACTGGGGAAACTATGACAATATCCATAATGTCATATAGCAAGATCAATACGAGCTGAACCTGCCTGCTAACAGGAGTTTATCAATCACCATGTTTCTTAACATTTCTGCACATGGCCTTCTCCATCTGCAAGGCAGAGCTCATACTATTTTCTTGCCTCATGAAAACAAATGCAAAATATAAACAGCAGCATTTGTATAGCTGATTTAGGGGGAACGTTCATGTAAAAAGACATGGTAGAACTATACAATTTGAGTATTTCCGGGACATAAGACTGAAGTTTTTAAAGATAAGAATTTTATTGCTGGGGAAGGGGGTTTATGATTTACAGCAACATTTCTGCCTAAATCTGATTGTTAATTTGAAGATAAAACGTCTAACATAGTTACATGTGTTTTCTTACCTCGGGGAGTCAATTCCACTGTCTCCTGTAATGCTGTGGTTTTCTGTTCCTTCCGAGTGTTTCTGTCCTGGTATCACAGTACATGCATTCTTAAAAAACAGATTTTTTTTCCCCAGAGGGTTTCTTGTTTCTTTGGTCTGTGAGTCCAAAGCACAGCATGCCACTACTTCACCCATCTCATAGGTGAAGTTCTGCAAAGTGTCAGCATCTGAGTCAGCCTCATTAGTGTGGCAGAAATCTGCTACAGCTGAAGCCTTCACACATTCAGTAAGGCCAGTTTCTTCTTGCTTTCTGTGACCTATCGGAGGAACCTGACTGCACAAACAACTTTCTTCTGTGAAATCTGTTTTTGCATGCTCTTTTGAGCCATTTATTGATTCTACAAAACTAGCACTTTCCTTATATCCATGCTCTCCAGAGTCATGTTTGTTTACAGTTGTGTTGTACTGGGCAGGATAAGTATTAACCTTACAGTTTTTTAGGGACATAGGTGTCCCCAGCTTTTGCACAGCTTTACTCCAGTCTCTTGTATCTGAAAAAGCATGGCCAGGAGGCAGGTGACATAGTTCATTGCCTTCAAAATTATCATCCAGATGTAACGAGTTACAGGTGTCACCATCATGTGCTTCTTGATACAGAAGATGGCAGTTATCAGTAAATCCTTCACTTTCCAGCTTCATTGATCCAGGATGGCTGGTATAGTCATATTTAAATATAAGTTCACTCTTTTTATCAGTCTTTTGCCTGTATTTCACCCCATTTTTTTTTACCAGGTTAATATTGGCTGTACAATTTGAAAGACGAACATTTTGAAATTCATTTGCTGTTTGATCTAATAACTCACATACAGTATCAGCTTTGTACCGGCAATGCTCATCTTTCAGATGTAATGAAAATTTTGCATCTTCTTTGCACACAACATTATTTTCAGTGTAGGAGTGAAGGGATTTTTTAATATCCACAGGATTTTTTTTGACTGTTCTTCTGTAGATGTTTTCTTCAGAGATATTACTCTCCAGAAAGTATTTACTTTTATTACCTATTTGCAAAGTACTGCCTTGCAGATAACTGAAGTCTTCACTTAAACTGTCTTTCTTTAGTTGGAGGGAAGACCTATTATCATGGAGTAGTTTGTTTTGCTTAGTTTTGTCAGCCTGCGTTTCAGTAGCCAGCTGTTCAGTTTCATAGTCAAAGGTTTTTGAGGAGTCCAAGGACCATGGCCTTTGTACAGCCCTTTCTTGCTTTCGAGTCCTGGACTTCAGCTGACTGTTAATAGTACCTTTGTACCCTTTTGCATAAAAGTTGTGTCTCCATGACAGACCCTGAAAAGGGTTCTTAATTTGTTTTTTATATATGACATGGGATTCCACAGCTACATCAGATGGCTGTTGGTTTCTGATAGTCAGTGAAAGGTTCTCTTCCAGTTTCTCATTTTGGGATGTTAGCTCATGTATGTGAGATTTCCTGTT